AAAGTCTATTTACGATGGTAGTGATTATTTCGAAGCAAAGTACATGTTGTGTGACACAGTCCTAACGATTACTAAAATTTAGGTGAATTGTTTTTTTTTTTGAATTATTTAAATGAGTAATGTTGAATTTGGAGCGTTTCTTTTTTATGAAACGGAGATAGGAATATTGAATTATTGAATAAATTTAAATTGAAGATAAATTTAGTTTGTANACCGGCAACATATGAATGATGGGCCATGCATAATACACTTTAGACGCATGTGAGTTTCTTTAAAGCTATCTTCATAGGAATCTAAAACAAAACGTGCAAAATATTGATGACATTATGGATATGAATTAATCTGAAGCTTCAATAGATTGAATTTATGAAATTGTTTGTGCTTTAGGGTGTGGGGTGTGAATATAGATACATTTAACAGCACCCACACCCACACTCACTCCATCCTCACACCCACAACCACCCACAGCCTCCAACGAATCTATTTTTCCGATATATATCTTGATCATTATAATTTGAACAGTGTATTAATGATGATCATGATAAAGTTAAATTTTCATGAAATATTTTTGTTGCTATGTGATGTTTTAATTGTACGCTATTACTTGTCAAATAACAAAATATTGTTTGATATTTCTTTATAACTCATTCATTAGTGTTGTATTGTTTGTTATAGATTATTTTAAAACATTTAAGGATGTGAAATATGCACGAAAAAATAATTTACAATCTGATGTTGTGAATAAGTTCTTGACGTAGATAAATTACATATCTGTATATGCTTACTGAGTTCGTCGTACGTTTGAGATACTTGATATTATATTTTAGTATTCTTTCTTAAACATCACGATTAATGCTATGCGAATTGATTGAGTGAGTGAATGCGGCTGTGGATGAATATGGATGTTGATGTTGATGCTGATGTTTTCTGTGCTAAAACTAACATCCATACCGACACCATCAGCCACTCCACAACCATCACAGAAAACAAAAAATCCAATATTTCACGCGTCTTCATACGACATTTCGCATTATTCATTAGTATTTTCATTAGGAAAAGTTTGAAGCATAAAAAAAAGGAGAGCGAGTATCGGATTGATCGACGACCGTGGTTCCAAAGAAACCAATATTAAGCTTTAGTCTCGTAATATTCAGTTGTTAGTCATTGATCGCGGCTCGCACTTGTTTATCAACATCTACTAGTTATTCAAGTTGCAATGAATAGAGATTGTGCAATTCACACACGTACTGTAAAATATCTAGTTTCATCATTCACTATAGGTGTTGCGCAATTCAAAAGCACACATTTTTCTTTCCATTTCTGATTTTCTTGATTTGGTTTCTCTCTCGAGAAAATGTTATTCTATTCAGATATAACAAAGCAGATCTTGTCTCAAACATTTCAGGGTTAATATCCATCCGTTCCGGTGAGTTTCTTGTAGGATTTCATTTCCGCAGGATGCAAATAAAATGTTGTTTTATATGAGAAGCAAAAGCAACGCTACGTTGGAGCATAAAGAAGCATAGAACAGTTCTATTTCAAAAAATGCCAGTGCGTTACGACTGATTGGAAAACCAATGTGTAAGGAACTCCTTCTAATTCTGATAAAGGCTAACAATCTTGTAAACGAACCACGGTGAGAATTGGCTTTGCTCCTCATCTGAAAAATGCAATTCTCCTGTTATTATAAGAGTGAACGATGGAAAAGATTAAAACTACATGTCACTGGAAAGAAATAACACACTCTATATTCAGAACCGTGTCGGACGAGGCTACCCACTATTTAATACTAATTTCATGAGAAAAAAGATCGAAGCACAAAAAAAAAAGAGAGCGAGTATCGGATTGATCGACGACCATGGTTCCAAAGAAACCAATATTAAGCTTTAGTCTCGTAATATTCAGTTGTTAGCCATCGATCGCGGCTCGCACTTGTCTGTCAACATCTACTAGTTATTCAAGTTGCAATGAATAGAGATTGTGCAATTCACACACGTACTGTAAAATATTGAGTTTTATCATCCACTATAGGTGTTGCGCAATTGAGAAGCTGAAAATGTTATTTCGGCTGTTGATTTTCTTTACGTGGTCTGCGTTTCTAAAACCTAATATTCTATCAAAAAAATAAAAAATAAAAGGTGTTCTCAGACACCTAAATAGTGAAAAACTGTTCGCTGGACAAGCTTCGTTGTGGAATTTTATTCTGAGACGACATAAGGAATGCCTTATGTTGTTTGTGTAGTAAAATGGTGTCACTTAGTAGTTGATACCAAACCAATGATTAACTGTAGTGCCCATAATGCATAAGGTTTCCGCATAATTTTAATATCAATAGCAAAAGTATCATTTTTCTTGTTTACAAAAGCTAATGTGAATTGTTTTAGGGTGTGAGTGCCAGCGTTGGAAATAAAAAGAAAACGATAATCAGTCATTCCAACACTCAGACACCCACACACACATTCACACCTAGACCCTCAAGTTGCGGAAGACTAAAAGTGAACACGATTTAGCGAAGCTTAAATAACGTCCCAATCATCGTTGTAACGTGATATCACTATTTATTTCTTCATTCACGTCAAGGGTGTGAGTGTGAGGGTGAGGGTGTGGGTGTGGGTGTGGGTGTGATGTCGGTGTGTGGGCATGGATGTAAGTGTGGGTTCACCTTATCTTATTTAACACTCATGTCCACATCCCACATCCACACCCCACCCAAATCGACACATCTACGCCCACACCCACACCCACCCTCGAAAATCAAAGGCGATTATAACGAGATATGCAGCACTTATTTTCATTGGTTTTTTCAATATATTTTATTCAATTTATTATTTTTAGTCAAAACTCTAAAATCATTCACGCAAATGAAGAAATGACGTTTCGAAGACAATCAAAACTTGATTGTTCTTTGTATGATATTGATTACGATATTCTTGCCTCGTTTCCATTTCCTATCGATATTTATAACTCAGAATACGTCTATTCATCATTTGCAGAGGAATAAGTAGAAAATGAAATTCATAGAATAGTTATACTGAAGAAAATTGTATTACCACTTAAATTTTTTGTTTGAAACATTTAACATATTTTGGTATATTTAGTTCACATATTATTCCATATTCTGATGATGATGCTGATTATCAATTTTCATCTCAAATCGAACGTCTTGCTTCGTTAGCATCAATCTTTATTATGAATACAAAAATAACTCAGTTACTATATAGAAGAATTTAGCAAATTAATAAATTTATCGAGCTTAGAAATGCACAACACTGGCCTGATTTATTTGTAAGAAACTTTTGGTAAATTAACTTCATTAGTATTTCAACGATTCAATAACAACAGCTTTGTATCATTACCAAAGACAATTTCAAATATAGAGATATTCAACATGGTCATATTAGATATTAATTCACAGTTGCGTTCTTTACAATCATTCAATGGTATTCGTAATCTGAAACATCTTTATGTAAGAAATTTGTATAATTGACCGTATACTTTATAATATGCCCGATCTATACTATCTATCATTGTGGAAGAATAAGATAACAAATCTTTATGGTATTGAAGCATTGGGTTATAATACAAATGAAAATAAAATCTTTGATTTCAGTTCAAACCGTATAAATTCTATATATTCGTAATATAAATTATCTTGATTTATCTTATAATCAATTGAGATTTCTTCCAATAGAGATTTTTCAAATTGATACTCTAATCTTCTTAAACATCGTCAACAATTCATTTAGTACGAAGAAAGAAAATAGAATTCTACAAACCGTCAGAAAGACTCAACCAAATTTAATACTTTACTATTAAAATCAATATAAGTCAACGAATTTGGGTTGCCATTGTTCTATCATCAAAAACATTAACGAAAAAAGTTCAGAAATCATTCAAACTCTTCTTGAGGATGCGAGTATGATCAAAGATAAATACAATGCCAGTAGTCACAATGACATCTACACCCACATTCTCAAACGCAATATATAAGCAAAAATGCACACTATTTGAACTACCTAAGAATTCGACGTGCTTGCCTAACCGCATCAAAATATCTAAGACACATTCAGAAAACTTTCACTACCAAAAAGTTAATCAAAGACAGGGAAAAACGTAAACTATGCTTGGTTTGTAAAAATACACTCGACAGAAAATTCACTTATAGCTAGGTGATCTGTGAGGTCTGATAATTCTGTATCTGTTCCTCGAAGAACATAGATTTATTAGTGCTCTGCTACAAATAAATTGATGGAAAGTTGCTAGAAATTTCAATTCTTGAGATTTGCATGAAATGTCCACTATTTTGTAAATGTTGACCGTTATACAATATTTTTGGATCGCGAACTTACCTGACAATGGCGTTTAAGTAAGGTCGCAACTAATCGCAAATATGCTAAGTTTCTAAAAAATTCAATTATAAACACACCTGCAGCCATGCCATTTTCTTACCTCTTGTCAAAATTTCATACGAAATATATAATATTCGTGTCTTTTTTTTTCTATTTTTTGAGAAAACTTTTGATTTCAAAACGATTTCATCTGATACAATGTTGTAGCAATAAATGCTCTAGTATCATCTCTTTGAAGTGATGAAAGCCATAGTTCTGTTACTCTTTCGTTTCTTCAATTATTGCGCTAATGATCACAACCGTCGGATATTTTAATGCGTGATAGTACTTTGAGCACGTTAGAATGATCTTGTTTGGATTTGTAAGTTCTAATCTTTTTGAATTATTTTGGTTAGTGACTTTATGAAACAATTCCAAATGTTTGATCTGTATATTAATAAATAATTTATTCTATGCAGTTGCTTACGAACAAGCTTTATGAAAATCAAAGAAACATTCAGAAAATCATGTACTGTATATTTATAAAAAAGACTTATAATTAATTGAAAATAAATGTGATTTATCAAAAAAGTCATCAAGACAAACGAAATCAGTGAAGAAATGCGTTACAAACTACGATCATTGTTTTCGTCTATGAACATTAATTATTTTCTAATAAGGCTGAATCGTATAAATGTCTCTGTAGACAATATCTCGCCCAATACCACCTCTGATAAGTTGGGTAAATTCTCTCAAATTGAGTTGATTATCATAATTTTTGTCATAACGACGAATTATCGTAGGAAGAGTATCTAAAGTTGCATCAGGCAAAATAGCAGGTATCACTTTGGCTAATTCATACACATCAATTTGACCTGAACCATCAGCATCTATCATATGAAATGCTTCCCTTATGTCATCGTCCGATGAATCAGGACCCAACATGATTACATTCGCAACTTTCATGAAGTTCGAATGCGAAATTGTTCGTCGAGGCATGAAAGAAGTAAATCGATCATAGGCGTCATTTGGTAGGGATACGGAACGATTATAGACTTGACCAGAGTTAGACGTATAACTGTAACGATACTGATGACTGTAGTGATAGCTAGAGCTCATTGCTTCCTTTATGGTAACCGGAAATATATCAATTATTACGACGAGTTATGAAGTGAAAGAAAGCCAAATAAACTTGGGTTTGGAGCCGTTTATTGATGACGATAGGCGGTTTTTTTTGTTGGCTTCAACTAATTTCAATAAAATGCAAAAAAAAATACGATTTGATGCATTTACCTAGATAAAAATATTAAAAATCTCAATATGAAAGATGAACTTGGTCGCTAAAAATTTCTTATTGTTCTCAGATCCTTTTTACAGAAAACTATATAGAGTGGTCAATGACAAGAGAAAAACGCCAACAGAACCCGCCAGAGTGAGGGAGGTGCGCGCCCCCTTCCAATAATTGAAAATTATTCAGTATTATCCAGTAAAACGAGTAAGATGCTTTAAAATTTTATACTACCTCTGTGAATTATTTTGCTATACATCCCCTTTACACTCCCCCAATATTGAGACCCTCGCGCTGGGCCTGACCGCCAAATTTTGTATTATGGGATTCTCTGGATTCACATCGAACTCTTATTTTACATCGAATACCTAATCATTTTATTTCTGACATTTTATGTTTTGTGTTAGAAGATGCGTATAATATGTATCTCCAAGTCACGAGTAAGTGTGTGACAGCTTTCGGTATTGTCAGCCGAAAAAAGTCAACAGTTCTTTTCATATGAGCTATTTTGAAACTTTTCTAGAACCACCAGAAAGCAGAATTTATTCAAAGACTGTTATATGAAATGATCCATAAGTTATCATGGCCTATTCTATAGTGGTATTCATAAGATATTATCGCCTGCACCGAAAAAATGCTATGATTAAAGAACTAAAACAAAAGTGTTACATAGACTTGAAAAAAATCGTTTTGTGCTTTCTATGGAACTTAAAAACATGTCGACTTTTGAAGTGAATCTGAACTTTTTACAGATTTGCATCAAATCTACGAAATCCTTTTTGTGTACTCAAAAAGTGAGTACACTCTAGAATCGGTCAGTGTGTCCGGCCGTCCGTCCGTCCGTCCGGCCGTCCGGCCGTTAACACGATAACTTTTGAAAGGAGAGTCCAATCGCGATGAAATTTTCTACACAGTTCAGTCTTAACAATGTCTCAGTCGAGTTCGAAGATGAGCAGGATCCGTCAAGAAATGGCTGAGTTATCGAAAAAATTGTCATTATTGNGGATGTGGGTGTGGGTGTTGGGTGTGGATGTGGGTGTGGATGTGGGTGTGGATGATGTACTTCGTTCCCACACACACACCCACACACCCACACCCTACACCCACACTCGCACCCTTATTTTACGAAACTTCGCATACTTATGTTGCCACTCCAACTCGTTCATAATTCCAAATATGATCCCTTGAAATTTTGGAATAGAGTAGAAGAACAAAAATTTAGAGCTAGCATTTCCATTGGTTTTAATATATGTTAGTTAATCTCTCCTTACTTAGTCACAGGACTTTGAAAACATAGAAGCAGAGCTATTCATTTATACTATCTTATGAAAATTTAGCTGAAACAAAGGAGATACAAGATGTATCAGCATCGTCTATAGATTGAGCAGGAACTGTATTATCGAATAAGCATTCATTTATATTGTATTTCACGTCTTTACCCATTAATTCACTTAACGAATATTTCATGAAGAAACTCAAAAGCGTTCATTAAAACTGATTTCATTTAATTGATAAGAATAATAGATGACTTTTTGAATTACTTCTCAATACGAAAAAGAAATTTTCATGTAAACAAGAAAAAAAGAACGAATGTCAATCGCAGTTTTCATGATAATCTTATTTATAGTATTAAGCTAAATATTTCTGTTTTGTGCTGTTTGAAAATATTGAATTTTTCACTGAATAATCTGTTAGTGTTCCTATATTGTTTTTCTTGTAGAAAATTATTACATTAAAAAGCGCCAATAGAATCATCTATATTGTGTTAGAATTCTATTTTAAATCAGTAAAATTAGCGAAAAAAAGTAGTTGACAATATCAAAAAATAGAAGCATACATTAATTTGTTAGCATTAAAAATATACGATATCTTTCTGGAAACGGCATAGCCATTAATGATATTGGATTACATATTTGTTCCACTTGACAGTTTAGCCATTCTCCTTCAAGTTTATATATTTGATATTTTTCTAGTATAAGTTGACAGTTTCTTTTGCATCATGATGGTTCAGTGGCCAGTTCAACTATATTTTGATTTCTTTTATCTGCCATTTATTCTTGTTCTTATTGGAATAGAAGTGTTCTTTTTCCTTGAACTTGATAAGTTCATCTTCATCTCTTAGCATTCTACCAAGTAAAAGTCTGAACATATTGTCTTAGTGTCAAAACGAAATTGCACTTTGCAACTAGGATAAAGGATATATGCTAGATCTTTTCAATGGAGTCAAATAATGAATGCCTCTTTTTTGTGGCCTACTTTTGGTGAAACTCAGACATACTTTAAAAAAAAAATAGTGAGTATAAATTGAAAAGCGGGATTTCGCGCTCCACTCTCCACTATAGACACGAATGAATATTTGGCATCGCTTACCGAGGACTACACTGATTATAACACTACTTCCTATCTTGCTTCATGGCAAACCACATGAGAGATGAAAAATTTATGATTACAGACATTCACAATCTAATATCGATCATTGAAGATCAATAATCAGGTTGTATACAAAAAAAATAGTAAAAATTCGAATGAAAAAACGAAGCGCGTTCGAAAAAAATTTTGCGAAAATCTAGAAGCAAATAAAATGGACTTTTGATCGAATGATGGTTTAATTTATAAATCAGTGGTGTCTTTAGAAAATTTTATATTATATGCATTTTGATCAATTTTCTGATGATAGAAAAAGAAATGTGAGCTCCATATTTTAGCTACGAAAAGCTACACTGAGCAGCTTTTCTAGCATTAATTGTTTATGATGTTGAGACATCTCTTCATTTCGCACATATCTTCATGTAAATAAATGATGCAACTTTGGACTTTTTTTTTTGAAAAGATATGCCGTGAAATATTCTACAAAAGCCACATCATGAAATTTCTTTTACTTGTTCCGATGGCGTTTGCTATACCTAAAATGGGAAAATTATAGATTGCAGTATTATCTACCATCATATTGAAAATATTTTGAGAGCATTTTACAATTCTTGTTGGAGTCTTATTGTATATCATATTTGTAGAGATTTCGACAGTACATCTTTTAAAAACAGGTTTAAACCTCCATCATTTTCTCAATTCGAGAGGGTGAGGGTGTGGATATCTTCCTTATTACGACCGCACCAACACCCTCAAGTAAAAGCTGGTACATCGTTTATTGAATATTATCCTTTGGCTTGTCAAGAAAGTTATGATACCTGGTGTTGACTGATTTTTCATAGAAAAACATTGAAACCCTGGAGTTTAAGATGCATGGTTTTAGATATTTATCCGCTAAATGGACGAGAAAAAACGGAAAAAAAATTATCGCGTACTTCACATACTTGCACGATGCTTCATATAATCGTGGATCTTCGCTTACATTCTAAAAACAATAGGTTTCCTAGAAAACCCGTAGAGGGTTTCCGAATTTGTTACTATAGGAAACTCTTTAAGGGTTTCCAAAAAAGAATTTCCGAGATCTCGGAAACCCATAATGTCCATCATATCGAAACCTCAAATACTCACTCGGAAACCCCCCAAAAAAAAGGTTTCCGAATGGAAAAAAGCTGTAGCTAGCTACTCAGAAAAAATGTGTCATACTGAACCTTTTAAGGTTCTAGATTTGGGTACCATTTTCCGAACCATTTAAGGTTCAATCAAAAACTGGTTCTAGCTGGAACCTTTCCCTTTTTCTCCAAAAATGGTTCTAGAGTAGTAAAATGTAGTCCGCCACACTCAATTACTCTAGTACTGCGGAGTACTGCTATAACCAACGGTTAACTTCATATTTAACCCCTTATTTCTATCTCTAAACCATAATTCTATCCTTAACCCTTAAACCTATCTTTAACCCTAATTCCTATCCTTAACCCTTAAACCTATCCCTAACCCTTACTTCTATGTGTTATATTTACCTAGATTTGTTGTGAGCACAATAAGAGCCAGCGCTTCGTTCTCTATTCACCCAGAAAGGGCATCGCCTTTACGTGTTGTTGAGACGATCCTAAACAAAAAGAAGAAGAGTAACTTATATTGTAAGATTGAACTTACCACTGAATTGATTATTTACAAATTCCCAAATAGATAACAACATTAACTCATTTGATCATATTGAACTTGCATTTCAATTGATTATTGTTACATACTCAAATAAAGAAAATATTGAAGTCATTTAATCAGATTGCGATTACCTTTCTATCAATAATTGTGACATATCAAAATAGGTAACGGTTGAGTAATCCGACTCGGATCCCCAGGGTCGAAATCGATGATGGCGGATTCGGATTTCTGAACATCAATAACCTATTTCAAACTTTGATCAGAATTCAGATCGGAGTTGAAATAAAAAGTCTAACTTTGCAGCCGTCGAATTTTTGATGGACCCAATTTCTGACCAATGGGAGCTCGGATCGAAAAAATGATGACGGATTCGGATTCCTAGACCTCGATAACCTATTACAGATTTACATTAGTTAAATCACGTTCAGAAGATATCGCATCTTGATTTTAGCCAGAATCATTTTGGAAAAATGATTCAGCGTAAAAAAAATGTTGCAAGACAGAACCCTTTCAAACACCCAGAACTGTGCATGATCTGAAATGGTTCTTTAAAGTCGCTAGAACTCTCCATTGTTTATTAATAAATGAATAAAACCTTGAAAGGTTCAGTGTCTTCGGTAGAAGCATTTTTCAGTCCAAATGGTTCAGTATGACACCTTTTTTTCGAGAGTACGAAATGTTTAAATCATCGGGAACCCTTTAAAATGTTCAATGAAAGTTCGGACTCCTATTTTAGTTGACTGTGACACCATTTTCAATTTAGGTATTTTCGAAAAACCAATTTTTGGATTCTTATGATACTCTTTTGAAGTTGGGTTTTTTCGGAAACCGTTCAGGAAATGAAAAGGTACTTTCGCATACCCTTTCGGAAACGGATAAGGGTTTCCGAGTGGGTTTCCGAACCCCTTTCGGTTTTCTAGGATACGGAAAATTTTTAGAGTGGAAGGACATGAACAAGCATGTGTGCCTCGCTTCTCATCTAATTGCTCAAAATTTTTCGTATTTTATACTTGAATCGGCTCCCTTCTAATGACTAGTGATAGTTTCTTATTTTTTCCAATAATATTTTATAAAACCAATGCTTTATCAGAACCTTTCATGCTTTCATGAGGTGAATTCACTTGACTACTCTATCACCTCATTGACTTACTAGCTCATACTAACATAAAGATCACAAGGCGAACCATGATTCAATAGCTTTTTCTTTCCATCTCCTTTGACCTTCTGCTCGTCAGACGACATCATGAAAAAATAGGAAGCTATCATTGTGTTTTTAAACCTCTTGTAATCAAATATCAAAAACTGTAGCCTTTCACGAAGTATTGTTAAAATATTCTACAGTACTAAATGATTATCACTTTTCGATTACAGAGACTTCAACTACAAACACAACGACACAAATCAAATTTTCTACAGCTGAAACAACAATTACAAATATTAAGTCTACTTCGGAAAAAATATCAACAGAAACGAAAGAATTCACCTCAGTTAAAACAATAGTAACTGAGATTAACCTAACTGAAATTATGACAACTAATGAGACTGTCTCATTTCAAACAACATCAATGAAAAGGTGAATCTCGTTCAACTGAAATAATAGCAACAACAACAACGAATGAGGCTGTTTCAACTGCATAGTGATGACAGTTAAATCTTCTATAGGTGAAATGACAACCAGCAATGCACAGGATTCTACCACAATTGAGGGAACAACAGGACTGCGGAGCACTATAGAATCTAATGTAACTTTAACGGTAACAACTGAGCCTGGTGCAACTCAATCAGCAACAACTTCACACAGAGGAGAAGAACTTCTATCATCAGAAATAGTAATGACAACAACTGAAACAAGTTCAGTCACAACAAATTTCATAAATGAATCTGTGTCAGTGAGAGCCGAAAAACTAGAAAGTAAAATGACTCCTAGTGGTACCAGCGAAACTATTACAAGTGGAATCGTCTTAGTTGTTAATTACGTGACAACTAGTTCTTTGAAGACTCAGGAAACAGGTAATGTTGCATGAAAGCTGTTCATTTGATTTTTTTTCTAGAAAAAGCTTTTGTTCGTTGATATATTCAGAGCGAGACGCTTCATAATTTGAATAATAATTGAAATTATTCCATAGGCAGTTTTTTAAAGTTCAGGCACTGTTGACAGTGCGTAAGCGTTGAAATGGTTTTTCAAGTGAAAAGACCTCTAAAGTCATCCGATAAACGTTGAAAGTAATAATCCGTATTTTGAATTTACAATCTATTGTTTTCGTTATGTCTTTTCCCTTATATCTATCTTACTTTAACAGAAGGTTCATTCCATTTCTTCTCATCTGAAAAATGCAATAACACAAAAACTCTCGGAATCAATTGTGGTTTTTCCAACGATTTATGCGAAACGATGAAACCATGTATAAATGATGGAAATTGTTCCATTCAGCAAGATACTACCTTAGACTTTTCTTGTTCATGTCCAAAGGATTTCATTGGTATTCGTTGTGAGACTGATAATTGACAATGTAAACCATATACTTGTCTCAATCATGGTAAATCTCTTTCGGAATAACTATCATCGACATAATAAAGTTATATTTATTTTCTAGGCAACTGTTCTGAGACATCAAACTCTACATTTCATTGCGAATGTAATGATGGTTGGCAAGGAACTCATTGTGAATCAATGATAAACTTTTGTTACAATGTCACATTTTTGAATAATGGTGTTTGCCAACCATTATTATTGAATTATCAACGTGAATGTCTTGGTGATAGTTATTATGATCGTCATTGTGAATACACTTCGACAAAAACTGCTATTTTCAAAATTGCTTCTAAGTCATTTGCTTATATTGCAATCATTGCTTTGACAAGTGTAGCTTTGTTTTTTATCATAATGGATATATTGAAATATGGTTTCGGTATCGATCCGACACGAGAAGAATTGATAAGATATCGACGAGAGAAACAAGCAAGACGATAAAAGCGTCCTGTGATTCAACGATCTGCTTATGTTAATGCGCCATCAGAGTCGTCTAAAAAATAAACCATAGAATCTATGGAAACGATAACTTTATTTCTTTTCTTCAAATGAATAGAAGTATAATAAAAAGCAAATATTTTGCTCTTTTAGTTTTTAAAGGAATTCTTCGGTAACATGGGTTGTAATTTGCGTGACGTAAAAAGGAAAATTCAAATTGTAGGTGCCCTAGATTTTAATAGTTTCTGTGAAATTGTTTATCAACGTTTTACTCAGTATTTCAATCATGCTAGTTTCTAAAGGGACATACTGCTGACTAATATCAACTTGCGACGCGTGATATTTAGAGTAATCAAAGACAGTTTCGATAATCAAATATCTTTTGTCTGTGAGAAGAGTTCATACATAATAAATCAACGAGTAATGTGAGACATATGAAACAGAAAAGAATTATACAAACATCATGTCGTAGGAGAAAAGAATTGACCCATGAAGCTAAGTCTTGAACAACGAATAAGTTACCGCCATCTCAATGTATTATTGATCGCTAATCTGACCTACAGCATGGAATCGTTTTTAAATTCTTAGAAATTAATGATCACTACTTTAAAACATTGTAATATAGTTACTCCTTCAATGTATCGGCTATGCCGATTTTCAAAATGATATTTTGTTAATAAGTTCAAGATATTTCATGACAGAGAACTATTGGTTAAAAACGTACACTTCATCAGACACGAACACATCATGTTGCAAAATTTTTTTGCACAGAAAATTCGAATAGGTTACGAAAAACTGATTTTCTATTCATGCAATTTTTGATAAATTCATTATGAACAATTTCATCATATGTCCACTGGTTATCCCAAAATAAGCGTAGTTTACCGAAACCTTTAACTTTAGTGTTTTGAAGTAGTTAACAAGAAGATAATGCATAGAGATTCCTGAGAAAGCATTGTAATTATCTTTTATAGTGCTCATTAATGTCCGTCCCAAGTCAATGTGCTAATAAACAAATCATAAACTTCAAACAATTCTTGTTCAAAAGGCTTCCCTGTAGAGGAAAAGCAGTTCGTTTCCATGATAAAAAAAAACTTACTCTGATGAGTAAATCAGTTGTAATTTATGCCAATTTTCTACTTTAGTAAAACACTCAATAAATTATTTCATACATGATTGTAGTTACCTTGGTTTTGATTAGAAACTATCAATTTTCGAGAAAAAAAATAAAATTATCCTACTTATCGGTACAGAATCATGTTATTCATTGCTGTAGGCAATCACTGGTTAGTAACACGTTCGTAATATCGAAAGGAAATCGATCGAGTGATTAAATTTCTTTTTCTTGAATGATCAATTATTAATACTCTAACAGGGTCGTGACTTACGGTTATTGTTATGATGATTATCTCATGTATAGAAGCCCTTATGTTAACTAAAGACTTGCTTTTGCACCTATATTATCCAACCATGTTTTCATAGATGTTTTTGAAATTAATCATAGTTTCTCATTTCACATCTTAAGGACTAGATTGCTATCATCAATATTCATTAAATATTATACTGGATGACATAAAACATCTAAAAATAAGTATAATAAACATTTATTATCAGATAAAGACGAAAAAATTCTTCCTCAACATCTTGACCTATATAATTATTCATGAAAAAATAGTTATTGTGTGTTGTCATAAGTTAGTCTTTTACTTTACTGTTCTCTATTGAAGGAAAAGAAATGAAATCTTATTATCCGTTGTTCGCTTGGTACTGAGCTGTGTACAATCCTCGACTTCGTTTCCTATTAAAAATGACATTAAGACAACAGATGAATATATAGTACTGAGTAGACTTTAGGTATTAAAAATGATAGATGTGACAAGATTTGATTTTCCGCCGGAAAAAGCGCCAGTAGCTATTAATTTACAATCATTTTCATTTTTATCGGATTTTAAAATCGACACTATCTCTTCCTTTCATAATTGTAATTGTGTGTATAATGAGAATAATGATATGCGCACATTCGTACCAGATTTATTTCCTCAAATGAAAAGTTTAACTAATTATAAAAATAAAGTTCAATCATGGCAGAACAATATTAGACGCATTAGAAAGAACTCATTAAAGTTTGAAACAATATTTTCTTCATCAAATGTTGACATAAGGGTGTGAGTGTGGGTGTGGATGTGGGTGGGTGTGAGTGTTGGTGTAAGGTACAGGTTCGAATGATATCCGCGCTCGACGTTCACACCCAGCCACACCCACACCCGCACCTACACCCCACACCCGTACCTACACCCCACACCCACACCCACCCTCGTAGGTTCTGATCTTCTTGAATTATTTTGGTTAATGACTTTATGAAACAACTTTAAACGGTTGATGTGAATATTGATAAATATTTTATTCTATGTAGCCATTTACGGCTATGCTTTCTGAAAATCAAGAAAACATTCAGAAAAACATGCACTTTCTATTTGTAATAAAGATCAATAATTAATCGCAAATAAATGTGATTTATCAAAAAAGTTGTTAAAGCTAACTAAGACAGTGGCTAAACGCGTTACAAGTTACAATCGTTTTTTACGTGTGGCAAGCTTAATTATTTTCTAATCATACTCAATCATAATAACGTCTCTGTAGACAATGTCTCGCCCAATACCACCCCTGACAAGTCTGGTAAATTCATTCAAATTGAGTTGATTATCATAATTTTTGTCATAACGACGAATCATCGTAGGAAGAGTATCTAAAGTTGCACTAGGCATAATAGCAGGTATCACCTTAGCTAATTCATTCACATCAAGTTGACCTGAACCATCAGCATCTAAAATATGAAATGCTTCCCTTATTTCGTCGGCAGTTGAGTCAGGACCCATCATGATTACTTTTGAAACTGTCATGAAGTTCATTTGCGAAATTGCTCGTCGAGGCATTAAAGAATTAAATCGATCAAACGAGTCATTTGGAATAGTTATGGAACGATTATCGACTTGACCAGACTTATACGAATAGCTGTAACTATAATTATACTGATATTGGCTGGAATTGTTGAAACTCATTGCTCTCTTTATGGTATCCGGAAAGATATCAGTTACGACGATGAGTTATGGACCGAAATAAATTCAAATGAACTTGGGTTTGAAGTTTTTGATTGATGAAGACTAGTGGTTTTTCTTGGTTTGCTTCGCCTAGTTTCTACAAAATGCAAAACAAAAGCGATTTTATGCATTTACATAGAAAGTGCATCTCTCATGAAACTTTTTGGAATACCATCTTATGCAAACAACTCATGATTGCAAAAGAAAAATAAAGAAAAAAATCAGTGGCTATATAATTAATTTTGAATGATTTATTTTCAATTGTTTGCATAAGATAGTCAAAGTTTCTATGTAGAGGATGAACTCGATAGTGAAAACCTTCTTATTGTTCTCATATTCTTTTTATACAAAGCCGTATAGAATGGTCAATGCCACGGGGAAAACGCCAAACTTTGTATTACGGGATCCTCTGGATTCCCATCGAACTCTCATTACACACTGAATCTCTGATCATTTTATTTCTGACATTTTGTGTTTCGTGTTAGAAGATGCGCATAATATCTCCAAGTGACGACTAAATGTGTGACAGCTTCCGATATTGTCAGCTGGAAAAAGTCACCAATTCTTTTCAGATGAGTTATCTTGAAACTTTGCTAGAGACCCCCGAAAGCAAAACGTATTCAAAAGACTGTTATATGAAGTTTTCCATAATTTATGATGGCCTATTCTATAGAGATGTTCATAAGATATTATCGCCTGCGCCATAAAAATGTTAGGAGTAAAGAACTAAAATAAAAGAGTTTCATGGATTTGAAAAAATTGCTTAGTGCTTTGTATGAAACTTAGAAGCGTTTCGGCTTTTCAAATGAATTCTGAACTTTTTACAGGTTTTATATCAAATCTACGAAATCTTTTTATGATTTAGAATTCGTTTTAGAAATGGCTCGGTATGACACCTTTTTTCGGTATATCTTATGGGATACCCATCAGGCCTCAAAGCGTGTCGTATGTAAGTACCGATAAGTTTTCAAGAACTGTTCTATGGAGATACCTATGAATCTTCAAGCATTTTCCAAGAGCAGTATCAATCAGTTATCGAGAACTATCGAAGTTGGATATGGTTCGCTTTCGAAATACTGTAGTCTGATTGCGACAAACAACAGAAGAGGCTTCAGTTTTGAACTCCGAATTGCCATAGAGCGTCACGAAGCATCATGAAGTCTCTAATATAGTAGACAGTTTGAGAGAAACTGCGGAAAAAACCTATATAGTACATTTGGTTATCTAATGATTACAATCGTTGAAACAATGTTTGCTGATATATGGTGTCAAACAAATCTAAAAACTGGCACTTTGTTGCACTTTACGTACAAATCAATTCATCAAGTACTAAAAAAAAGTCGCATTATGTTTTCTATTGAGTCTGAGGGATTGCAATATAAAGAGCGTTTTCGCATGCTTTTTGTTTTACGAAGAGTACAATAATAAATCTCTGAGCTAACTTCTTATCTTTTATCAACATAATACTTTTAAAAACGCAAAAAACTTACATAATAAGAAACAACCGTCACTCGTTCTGTGATACACAGAGCAAAAAAAAATTCTAAACTATTTAACGAACGAATTAAACATGATATCAAAACTATATTTCAAGGCCTGAAAATAGCTGTCGCAACTAAAATTGTATCAATGCGGTACAATTTCATAAACATTACGAACTACAAAGTAGACTGTTCTGTGCCAACTGATTTCTTCGCAAAACACATGTACACATATGAATCTCTAACAAAAATAAAACTTTTCCAAAACAAAATGCAACTCATTTTCAGTAGAAGCTCTGATCTTCAACTCAGGCTCAGTGAAATTCCTTGCTTCTAAAATTCGATCTACAATGAAGACTATACTTTCTAAACAAACCATTAAAAACAATGCGCATCCAGTACCAAAGCATAGAGAAACGAATAATACAGGAGATTTTAGAGTCCATCACAATAAAGATCAATTGCAATTCGCAGCCTCTTTTATACACACAATAAAATGACTCTATCTTTACGAGAGTTGTCTCGATTTGAAGAGAGTATGCAAACAAATTCAGTGGGTAAAAACTTCGATGCACTGAAAAGCAAGAAAAATGACTTTTTAAGTATTTATTTATTGCTTACGATTGCAAAAGGACAGCAAGAAGCAATTGTAAATATTTACCGAGTGGGATATCAATCTTAATTCTACAAGGTTTCAAGCGACCAGAAAAGATTACATCAAGAGACCGAATGGGAAAAAAGCCTCAGATTACGAATAGAAGAAGAACAAGGTATTCTTATTGAAGAATTACAATTGTAACTAGTAGGATCCGACAGGTTTTCAGCTCATTCAGACCACAGTTCAAAGGAAAATGCCGAGAGATGAAAGGAGCATTGCATAGTGCAATTTAACAGATTCTGCTAGCAGCTTTCATGCTATACGGAAAATGATCAATACGGTCGCTTTGCCTGACTACAGTTGTAGACGTGAGTTTCTGTGGACGTCACAGTGGCTCTGGGTATGGGAGTCGTATGGCTGTATGTGCGGCTATGGATGTGGGTGTTGGCGCTGGTGCCAATTTCAGTGTTGGTGCAAATAAGTGTGTGTGCACTTGTGGATGGCAGTGTCGCTGTGAGTGTGGCCGTGGCAGCAGTGACTGAGTTCCAAGAGTTTATAACTCTTCAAGAACTCTGAACTATTCAATTCATCGCCAATCTGGCAAAATCTGGGTGTGGTTGTGGTTATGATTATAGGTATTACTACGTATGCGGATAGTATTTTTAATCGGTCAGATTATGGAGACCTATAGTCGCAGGTGCATGGATACTCGCATCCACATCTATTCGCTCCCGCACAACGACACCCATTCCTCACACTCACACATCCCACACTCTTCACGCACATCCATACAACTCCACAGCCTAAAGCACCACTCTGACTCATACAGCGACGCCTACAGCTATACCACATGCACATCCGACGCTTATTAACAACCACAAGATATAATTACGAGTAGGTAGTACCTCTGTATGTATTATTTGTCTTTAAGTTCCAGTATGGTTTTGATGTACTTACGATATAATATAGCTATTTTTCTTTTTTTTTCTTTAACTCATTCAGCAGTGATTATGGCAAATGGTCAAAAAAATAAACGAGATAAGTTGTAAAAGTTAAATAGATATGTATGACAGCAAAAAAACGTAAAACAACAGTCAGCTGTTCAAAGTGATAATTAATAATAACGGTTTCAAGAATATTTATGTGAATTCTAACAGATTTGGAAAGTAATAAAATTCACAAAATGAATTTATATTTGTGTCTTTTCGATAGACAACTTTCTCTCTGATCGAGGTATAACTGATAGAAACAGTATGTGATGATGCTGGCATCATTGTATAAATAAATAAATAATTTTTATATTCTGTTCCATTAAGTGAAAATGAGCCATAACCAGTAACTTGTACTGTATCAATAATAAATTTAATGTCACTGGTTGCCTTTAGTTGTATAATGCCAACAATTAAACCAACATATTTATTTCTTCAAATTTTTTTCTCTCTCTGCGCATCTTTTTAACAGCTTGTTTAAAATTATCAACTTACGTTAATAATTTTTTGTTCTTCTCTTCTTGTTCACGATATTCAATTGAATGTAAAACATCAATTGTACGCATTTCACCAACGATATTTGTTGATGGTCGATTTGCACGAGCTTGACTTGTTACATTGGGCAACCGGATAATAGATCGATTGATATTAAAACTAAAGAAAAAAAACATTGTGAACGCTGACAACACTGAAAGACAAATATTCAAACCTATTTGTATTTTGACTTCCAATAATATCCATACGATTGTTGCTAATAGAAGGTGTATTAAATGTAATAGTGCTGAAACCAATATTTATTTTCAAATTGAAATATAGATCATAGAGTATTATTATGGTTTTACCTCTTCGAAACATACTGTGTTTTTTTTTTATCAATATTTGTTTCTGATGAAAAACTACTACTATAAATAGATGCAAGAAAATTTTGAATATCTTCTTTAATTCTCTTCTTTAGATGAAATTTTTTTATCTATAATAATATATAAAAAATGAAACTATCTTATTTTTGTACACAAATACGACATCATGTACTAAAATTTTTATCGGATTTCCATTCTCAATTTGAAATATTTTATAGTTTCATTTGCTTGTGAAGTAGGTGTAAAATACGAAAGATCAAACCTTCATATTCAACTAGTTATTTCAATATCGACCTTACTTTCGAATCAAGAGAATTATTCGTAAAGCAATCTAGTATTTATAAATGAGCAAATCACCTCTGGGCCAACGTATAATGATTCATAGGAGATTTTACCGTATCAACAGTTTTATGATTCATTTGTCTATAAAAATAGATTTAAATAAATGATCTTTCTATAGATATTGATATAAAATATGTTAATCACGTCGGTATTTCCTTTTCCTTTTCATCAATCGATTGTTGTGTTAATGATAAATGATGATGTTGATTATCGACAACAATCGAACTCGATCTTGCACCAAATAAATATGAATCAGATGGATGATTTTCAGTTGTTAATAATGATTGATTTTTTACCACGACATACATTAATATTATCAGCTAATGATGATGAAAGCAAGTGTGGATCACGAGAAGCAGGTGCTAATGTACGAGTTGCTGATAGAAAACCATCTTCAACAGATGAATCTGATTGAGCAGTTTGACATAGATTGGCGTTGATTGATACATTTCTCTTGGTCGATGCGACAGTTGAAGTCTCGATGAGATCATTGAAGATGCTGTCTTCACCATCAAATGTACCTATGTAAAACTTATTAAACTTTTATTCAACAGATTTTTTGACGAATATCGATGAGTCCTTAGTAGTATTGAAGCTAACCTGGTGCTGTTTTTGTACGATCATAAAAATTTTCCAGATGTTTTTTTCTTTTGTTCAGAGTCATTTTTATATTATTATCAAGAAAATCTTCATCATTTGATTGTAAAGATATATTTGTTACATCAGTAATATTCCTTTCACATTCATTGTCTGTTGTTGATGTATTTGACGATCGAATTCTCTTCGAGTTGTTAAATTTGTTGTGAATTCGTTTCGGCATTAATAAGTGGTGAACGTTGTGAAAGATTATATGATTAAAAAATGATAACGAATAAATCTAGAATTTGATAAATTAAGTTTAATATTACTAAAGGAGAAAAACAAGCCTAACAATAATATAATGGAAAAGTAACTGCACTTTTCAGGCACTTCGTAAGCGAATAAATCGTACTGATTGAATAGAATCGATTGAAGCTTAACGACCTGTTTGTTTTCTCTGTTGCATAGCTTTTGTATTTATCGATATGACAGAGAAATCTTGTGTTTCTCTCTGCATCTGCCTATTTTAATCAGAATAGACGAATCAATTGCTTATGTACCAAAGTCAAGAATATTTTATTTTATTTCTTTCTCCACTTCTATTTTACAGATGCATTTGCGTATTTCGCATTAGATGATAGTTTCGACCAATCACGTGAGGTGATAGCTTTTTTTGGAAGAGTCATGGGAGAGTTTTACAACTTATTTAAAAAAGCATTTTTCTATCAGAGAAGCAAAGAAAAGTATAAATTTATTATAGAAATATTAAAATCAAACAATGCGTTTTTGTTGTATTTGCCTGGCCTCTATTTGATGATGTGCTTTGATTTTTCATGAGTCGTAATCTCTTGAGAATAATTTAGTAGATCGAGTATTCTAATTCTGAATAATTCTGATACTGTCACATTATTATTCTAAGAAAATATTCCAGCTTCGCAAAAGATGATTTTAATGACCTAACATGTTTATGAACAGTTGAAATGTAATATTTTCGCGTTTTTTCTCCGCAGTTATCATCCCTAATGAAACATGGTAGCTCTACGTTTTTATTTTTGCTACTTCTGTAACAATCTGTTTCGTTTCAATAAATCGACCAATCAGTCATATATTTTTTACATAATAATATCATTTTTCACCTTCTCTCATATCAGTAATCGATTTTTTCCCGTAGCTTTTTCATTTTCCTTGAATGCAGAACATTATCAATTTTTTAGAACTTATTACATCTTCTCTTCGTATAGTCAGTTAAGAGCTCATGTCGGTGATAGATCGATACTCTTATACGAGTAATTGAATAATGGTCAGTCTTTACATTTGTAATCCTTCCATTGAAATTCTTGACTCTGATGTAGGCAAACCATTTATTTTTAAAGCGACCGAATATTACTGATAATTGAATTCTGCCTTTCTTTCCATTGTCTAGAGCAAAATAGAATTGTCATTTTTCAGTTTTTCTGTCCATGTCAGCAGAGATGAGGAAGAAGCGCATAGAATTCGTTAGTACTATTATTAATTTTTAATTATACGATATTTCATGTTTTCGGTTTATTTCAAATTTTTTCATTTTTTCAGTATCTAAAGTTGGACAGACATTAAAGATGTATATTTAAAGAGCAGCATTTAAGTTATCATTCGCAATTCATTGCACTCACTTGGTCTCGTTAGTAAAATGCGTTATTAGAAAACATATCAAATATTAAAATAATTTTATCAGATGTGTTTTTTTTACTCCTGTCTATTATATTTTTATCTCAAAGATCTGAAAAACGACCTCCAAAGATCGATTGAGTGCAATGAATTTTGGATGATAGCTTAAAGGTTACTTCTGAATGTACATCTTCAATGTCAGTCCAACAGCTGCTTCATTTGTAAGTATTGTTTTATAAAATAAAACTATTTTATTTTTATTTAGATCTGGTTCAACAACTAGTTCAATTGTGAGTATGAATTTATAAAATGAAATTATTTTTTTATTCAGATTTGGTCCATCAACTAATTCAATTGTAAGTATAAATTTCTAATATTAAATTATGTTTTTATTTAGATTTAGTTCAACAGCTGATTCAATCGTAAGTTTGATTTTATAAATTACAATAATTTTATTTTTATAAATTACAATAATTTTATTTTTATAAATTGCAATAATTTTATTTTTATAAATTACAATAATTTTATTTTTATAAATTGCAATAATTTTATTTTTATAAATTACAATAATTTTATTTTTATTTAGATTTAGTCCAAAAACTAATTCAATTGTAAGTATGAAATTATAAAATAAAATAATTTCTTTTTATTTAGAGTTGATCCGACAACTGATTCAATAGTAAGTATGAGCTTATAACATTAAATTATTTTATTTTTATTTAGATTTGGTATAACAACTGATTTAATCGAAAGTATGAATTGTTCGTACTTACGATTAAATCAGATGTTATACCAAATCTAAATAAAAATAAAATAATTTAAAGTTATAAATTCATATTTACGATTGAATCTCAGGCAAAGAAACAGCGAAAAAAAAGCGTAAAAACGCGTTAAAATTTTAACGAAAATAAAACCGTAAAAAGCGCACATTTTTACGCGTTCATAACGCGTTAAATTTTAAACGACGTAAAAACGCGTAAAAATTTTAAATGACGTAAAAACGCGTAAAAATTTTAAATGACGTAAAAACGTGTAAAAATTTTAACGAAAATAAAATCGTAAAAATGTGCGCTTTTTACGATTTTATTTTCGTTAAATTTTTTACGCGTTTTTACGCGTTTTTTTTAATAGTTTGTCTGACTGGGTATTAGGTGCTATTTTTCCTCTTATCATTTTAATTATATTTGGTATTCTTACATATCGAAATCTTCATCTTATGACGACTATTAATGATCAACAACAATCTATTCCAACTCGTTTATCAATGTGGGAACGACAAATAACAAGAATGATGATTATTCAAACAGTGTTAAATGTATCATGTACACTTCCTCATTGTATCTTCCTGATTTATACAATAGCGACAGTTCAACAAAGAGCAATGAAAAGTTTAAATCAAATTTATATTGAATATCTATTGGCTCTATTGTGTGCATATATAGTCTCTCTCGATTTTGCTTCATCATTTTATATATATTTTCTTTCTTCATCACGTTTTCGAAAAACAACCAAAATGTATCTAAAACGTCTTTTACATTTGGGAAATGATCAAGTTACTCCTTTCAACATTTCTGCTTCAACAGTACCAGTTACTGGTACAAAAACCCATAACAGACAATATCGAATGGTCTATTTAAACTAAACAAGTTGAATATTTACTGACAAAATTCAATTTAGACAATTTTATTCAATATTGTATGATCCTGACCCTCAATTTTTAATTGAAATATTTCTTCATATATCAGTGTCCTTTTAATAAAGAAGATTCTTTATTGTCATTCTGTTGTGGAAAGTTTAAATGTACTGTTGATAAGAACGTCTCAAACAAATGTTTGCAAATGACAATAAAAGATTAAATGTCTTAAGAGAGCGTCCATGTGAGGACCGAGCATCGTCCCAGTATATGAGGCACTGTTCAAAATTTAATTTTTCGCTTTTCTATGTGCATTCGAAAGACCATCACCTAAAACCACCAAATCCAAATTTTTAGCTCATTTGGATGTACTATAGTAAAGTTAGCCTGGATCGACTTTCTAGAGCTACCAGCCGATTGTCAAAAAAATAATCAAAATTTTTTCAGAGATATTTACTGAGATTATACTTTAACCAGTCAAGAAATTTTTTCATACCATATATCAAAAGATAGAGCATGAAAAACTGAAAAAAATGAGCTATTTAAAAAATTGTATATCATCTATTTACTGGGCTAACATAAGTGGAGAAGGTGGTAAGGTACTATTTTATAAGGTCCGATTTTTTGGAGTATATCTACTCCCATTTCGCGAAATCAAACTGGACCAAACTGAATTTTTGATATGTTATATAACTTTTTATTCTCTACAAAATGATAAAAAAATATTGGAAAAAAAGAGGTACCTTCGAGCCGATATGAGGCTTACACTATCAGAAAGTAGGTAAATAGCCTCAAATAAAACGCTCTCGGGCGCTTCCCAGTACCATTCATTCATGGCAATTTTTCATCTCGAATAAATTAGAATTCCATTTTGACTTGAACTATATAGACAATTCTTTCGGAAAAGGAAAAAAAAATTTCGATCCCCTACATGCCTGAGGGGGACCACAGGAATTTCGAAAAAATTTTTTTTTCGCGAAATCAAATAAAAATCAACCAGTTTGATAGGGTATGGAATGCTGATCATAGTCATATGATGGAAATCCAATATTAATACAAAACTAGTAGTATATAGACCGTCCTCCTGGTGAAGTATATGAGGGATCGTGACAAGTATAAGACCTTGAGAAGTCAACTCTATNGAATATTCCTCCATGTAGAATCTCTCCTTATCTATACTGTCAAAAGGCAATAGTGAACGTCGACGAAGTTACGGATTTTCCAAAAATCCTGGTTTTTTACTCTAAATCCCTATTTTTCCACAAAATAACTTCCTAACGAAAAACTAAGTCGATATTCGCAATCAGCGCGTGAAATTACGTCGAATAATGTGCGCAACATCATGTTTCATAACAAAAGATTTTTTTCGAAAATCGTAGCAAGGGTTCCCTACGGATAATTTTTGGGAAAAATTTTTTTTTTAAGAAATGGTTTATTTTCTTAAAGGTGATTTTCTAAGTGATATATAATCATTTCTGAGCAATAAAAACCCATTGCCAAGCACGAAAATTCCATGTCCGCCTGGTATGCGAAAGCTGCCCACTGTGCCCTCTCAGCAAACCTAGTTTTTCGAAGAAAACTCGAAGTTGAGTTTTTATCATAGGAAGATGCACTGAAGTCTCCTCTCGAAGGATATATATATATAGCTTTTCACAAAATGATCAGATTTTGACGGACTAATCGGCTAAAACTTGGGTCCTACTACCATGTTTTTTCAAGTTTTTCAGTTTTGAAAAAACTGCCGTTCCAGTGGTATCAACATTGATCAAAGCCTTTGTTGTATTAGTCATTACGAGCCTACTAACAGTTAAGATAAAGATCACATATTTCTAGACTCCTTAACATTGATATGTATATATAATTGACGTACAAACAAAAAAAAAATATCTAACGAATTTGAATGAAAAAAAAATCGATTTCTAAAACTTGTTTTTCGTTTTTCTCAAAATCAGTTTTTTCGAGTATACCCTTTACGCGGACACGCCTTTCTTAATAACGACTCAATAGAGAAGGGATAATTTTTTTTTATTGCATAGAGGACAAGTGGGGCTAGATCCTAATAGAGTTCGATTTTTGAATTTCTCTTCTGCTGAAATAAAAAACTTAGATATTTCGTTTTTATTAGCGCTTTGAATTTGAAAACTTTTCGAAAAAGTATTTTTAAAGATCAAACAAAGAGAAATTCAAAAATCGGACTCTATTAGGATCTAGCTCTAGAGGTACTCTACAATTTAAAAACCACACCGACATGCTCAGCTAGTATCCCCATACCGAAAACCTTGCCTGCGTAAAGAGTAATGAATTGATTAGAACTTGTGCATAGCTTTGAGATTTGGGGGAGATAGTTTAACCATAATCTATTCTAGCCAAGACTAACATTCTCTCAAATTTTCGTTGAAATCGGATGAGAAAATAACAAAGTTGGTTTCTGAGAGGGGCTCCTTTAAGACGTTCTCTTAAAAATGGATATGATAAAAAATGTCTTAATTGTTCTAAAGTATTAACCTAGAACATAAGAATTTCTTTTTATCATAGATCATAATTTACTGATTATACTTGAGATAATTTATCGAAATGTTTAAATTCATTATTCGAATCAATAAATGCTTCAAAATCATCTTCATAATGCTGTGCGCTAGTAAATATAAGTTTACGTTTGTAATCTCCTGAAGATTCAAGTTTTTTAAATTGTTCAACTGTTCTTACTGCATGAGTTTTAAGCCATTGTTCAAGTGGACTTTTTGATGGTATGGAAATCTCATTACGAATTCTATATAATAAATTCATTGTTTTACAATCTAAATGATCAAAGATGGCAATTAATGGCACGTTATTTCTTGAGCAAGTTAATTCTAATACTGCAGATTCACCTCCAACTATTGAATTATTTTTAAAATAATCATACAGAGGAACTAAATTACCTTCAACGAAGAAAAAGAACCAATACTCATTCTCGATCAATAAAATAAGAGTAAAAAAAAGTCTAATACCAGAATTTCGAACAATAAATAATTGACCTGATGCAGCTTGAGTTAAACGAGATGCTACAACACGACTATCAACACATGTTAACAGAAGACCTTCAGACTAAAATAAAATCCTACTTTTTCTATGGTAAAACACCGAAAACTAGAAAATCCTTACAGAAGGTCCGAGTGCAACCTTCTTAAATTCTTCTAAAAGTGATGGTCTTAATGTATGACGATACTGCATTATTCCATCAAGTACACGATTGATTCCTTTACGTATTGCATATGCAGCAGCCATTAGTTATATCTAAAAAAAATTAAAAAATGTTAAATAAGTGACTGTATATTTTGATTGTTTACAGACAGATTTTGATAACTATTGTCAGCAAACTGATTCGTTAAATTCATGAATATTTTATATATCGGAGATTCAAATGGGTTACTAGGAGCACTTAATGAGACTCATTCAAGTTAATAGCTCATATTTAATGGAGAGTTAGTTACTAACTAGTTAAGTATAAGTTCTATAGGATTCTTTATTTCAATGAAACTTAACCGAATGTAAAGTCTTCCAGACGAAACGTTTTCGTGAAAAATATTATAAGAAATATAAAGACCTCTGTCATAATAGTACAAGAAAACCTTGATCTTTTACGCTGATACCATAGAGAAAAAATTAAGTCGATCTGATTATCAATACATTTACTTGTTAATTTACTTTTTCACTCTAAAGGATGTATATGATATGGACTATTTGTGTAAAGCAACCTTCGTCTTCTGATAATCATATATAACCACGACAAGTACTATATATGAATTTTGTTAAATAATAAGTCATACGAAATAAACTAAATTCAAGATGAGAATTAAGATATTTGAATGAATAAACGAAACATGGCGAATAAACAAGAAGGTTTAAAGTTTGGGTTAAAAACCTAAAACTTGACGGTCATTAATCACTCAATCTTTCCATACATTTTGATTGCATTATAGTTTAAAATCAATCAAAAATCACTGGATAACTTTCAAACTAAATTCAAGAATTCTCTTATTTTATCACAATTAAAATTATTTTACCAAGTTAAAGTTAATGAAGATCACAATAAAAATAAAAACTAGATCAATAATTACTAAAAGCGACATCTGATGGAAACAACGTTAAATGTCTTCTTCACTTCAAATTTCGACCACCAAGTTTTCAGATATTTAAATTCGAATCATCAATATTAGTTTTTGAGACTTGTCGATAAAAGTAGACTATTGACTATCATAAATTTAGGAAATATTTGATCACCATCACTCACTCGAAATGAACATCGATGTTAACGTCAGTTTCAGAAAGTATTCTATCGCAGACTTATGACAGTTACCGGTCACGTAACTGGCTTGTTTTCTTTAACCAGTTCTTTGTGGAGAACTGAAGCCGATGGTCAGTTTTTTTTTTAAGAAATTGAGTCCAGTTACAACAAAAAAAAATTCCTCCTGAGCCGGTTCTGTTAACAGAAACTGTTCACTAAATTAATGATCATAAAAGAACTGGTTCGTTTCTTGAAGCTAGGATCTGTCAGAGGCAAGGGGGAAACAGCTGATTATTGATTAGATATGATTTTAAGTGATTAGCAGTGATTATTATTGATTAGGATGATTAGCGGATTCCTAATCCGCTGTTTCCCCCTTGGTATTTTGACAATCGTTATTTGCTTCATCAATATTATCATCGATCCAGATGAGCAAATAATTCTGTATCATACATCGTCTTGGTTGCATAGTATTTGAGGATGTTGGTGTTTTACATACGGCAGCATCCATTGTTGGTTTGGAATCTTTTTCTAAATTTTTCTACAATATCAAATGTGGATGCTTTTCTTTTTCGTTGATACTTCGCGATAATAAACTGCACCTAGTAGTTGTAAGTGCAAATATGATTATGAGCAATAAATAAAAGAGAAAAGACTAAAAAAAAAAACATTTATTTTATGGTCATTCTCTCCAACTTTCGCTTGGTTTTCTTTAATATTGACTTTCATTGTTCTGATAAAAACTAAGCTTGGCAATGCAAGATAAGAAGATATTCAGAACTACTAGTAAATAGAACGATAAGAATCAAGTACCAATAACAAAGATAGAAAGTAAAGAAATCATCATTGTAAATTAATAGGCTAGAGAGATCTTATGTTGAGGAAGTATAAGGTTGAACATAGAGAGAGAACAGAGAAAAAAAATTGGTTGAGATTCATCACATTGGGCTTTATTCTTTGCGAACGATTAGTGCATTTCTAACACATATTTATATGTAATGAAAAACATGTCAGTAAAGTTAGCTGCAGATTCCGGTTTTTTTTCGAAAAGCATCTGCCAACGGAAGTGGGCGACAACAAACATATATTAGTTGTGTGAGATGATGCGCCGAATATATTGTCGAGAAGTATGAGTATCTGACATCATTCTTGTGTTCAGTAGATCTATTTGAAATGCTAGCACAGTGTCAGAAGCAAACTGTCATCAATGCATCATGGAATCCACAGGTAATTTTCCTTACGTTAAATAGCGAGGAAACCTCATAAGTTTTCAATATATTAAATTTTGTTTGAAATTCTTTTTTTCTGTATAAGTATAGCATGTCATAAGAATAGTTAAATCAAATTTTATTAAACAACTCTGTATGATCAATAAGATACATGTTGCGTCAAATTTTCTTATGAATATCGATATTTGAAGATTTTATAAAATTATAAGTTAGTCTTTTAAGCTACTATCATTTATGATGGTTGTAAAAATTTTATTGAGTGTAACGTTATCGCTATTATGATTGACTCTTCACAAAAAAAGAACAAGTATTTATAAACGATTAAAAATTCAATTTGATATATAAGCAATTATCGTACGACCAGATTTAACGCACAATAAATTACTATAAACTAGGGGTTTCAGGGTTCCCGTACTTTGGAGTTCCGTTCCTAAGGAACGGGAACCCGGTTGAAAATTCATTTCTATGCTTTTTTGAACACGCTCGAGTTCATAGACATACTTTTTCTTTCGTTTTGAGCAAGTCACTCTGGGCTCCCGGGTTTCTTGGAACGGGAATCCACACTGGGTTTCGGGTTCCCAGGAACGAGAATCCGCACCGAGTTCCTAAGAATGAGGAACCCTGTTGCAAATCGTTCACAACAGAAATTTAGGTAGGGTTCCCAGTTTTGGGGAACCCGGTTTGGGTTCTCGTTCCTGGGAACCCGAAACCCAGAGAGACTTGTCTCAAAACGAAAGAAAAAGTATGTCAATGAACTCTAGTGTGTTCAAAAATGCATAGAAATGAATTTTCAACTGAGTTCCCGTTCCTAGGAACCCGGAACCCGTAGCGAGTTCCCGTTCCCAGGAACGGAATCCGAAACTGACACCCCTACTATAAACCAATCTCTATTGTACAATCACTGACAGCGATTATTTTATATGGCAGTCACTTTTGCCTCTTTACTTCTATGTGCTCGAGAAATCACTTGAATGTAATTTTTCATCGGGTTACACAAAATTCTGTTTTTCAGAGACTTATTGCAGCAGCATGTGATCGAAAAGAAAAACAGAAGAACATGAAAAAAACAAATTCTCTTTGCATTTTTTTGCTTTTAAGAGTCGTGGGTATCGATACCTATCAAGCTTAAATGGCATCAAATTCCGAACTAGACAATAATGATCTAGAGAAATTTACTTTAATTTGGCTTGATACTGATATAAATGGATCAGAAAATAAACAAACTCAAAATGATCTTCGCAAATTAAGTGTTGATTTTAAAACATTTGATACTATTCATGATTGTGAATTATTTATTCAATCATTATCAATTGATGCGTATACTGTTTTAATTGTTAGTGGTCGTTTAGGTCGAGAAATTGTACCACGTATTCATGAAATTAAACAAATCTATTCAATTTATGTTTATTGTTTCAATCGAGAAGAAAATTTAACATGGGCAAAAAATTACACAAAAATCAAGGATGTTTTAACAATAAAAAAAGAATTAATTCAACGAATTCGTAATGATAATAAAAAAGCAATCTATGATATCAATAATGAATCACTTCAAATAAATATTTATACAAACAATTCTAATGATCAATTTATTCATTCACAATTATTAATTGATCATTTACTTCAAATGAAAATTAATTCAATAATTGATACACAATTTTTTACTCAATGTCAAACAGAATCTGATGAAGATGATTTAGAATTAAAAATTCTTGAAGAATTTCAACAAAATAATTCATCTGAAAATAGTTTATATTTGTTAACAAAAGATAAATTTCTTTCAAAATTATTAACTAAAGCATTCAATAAAAAAAATCTTAATATACTTTATTTATTTTGTTCTTACATTCGTAATATAAATCAACAATTAGAATTATATAAATGTTCAACATCAATACATGTTTATTATAGTTATTTAATAACAGAAGAAGAATTTGAACAATTAAAAAATTCTGTTGGAAAATTTATATCAATTAATACATTTTTAGTAACAACATTTCAACGTGATAAAGTTTTTTTTGCTTTAAAACAAACAAATAGTTCACATAAAGTTTTATTTGAAATTTATGCTGATCCATCTATTGATGATATTAAACCATTTGCTGATATAAAATCATTGAATTCATCTACAAATCAATCACAAATACTTTTTATGTTAGGATCAATATTTCATATAGAAAATTTTTCTCAACAAGATGATATTTGGATATGTAAAATGAATTTATCGAATAGAAATCATCCAGATTTGAAAAATATTTTTGAACAAATTAAAAAAGAAGATGGTAATATTGAGAAAGATCTTCTTGCATTTGGAAATTTTTTAGCACGTATAGGTCAATATGACGACGCCGAAAAATATTATAAACATATATTAAATGAATTACTATCGAATCATGAAGATACGCATATAGTTTATCGTAATCTAGGAAATGTTGCCTATATTAAAAATGATTATGATAAAAGTCTTGAATATCATTTAAAATCATTAGAAATTAAAAAAAGTTCATGTAAAAGTCATGATCCAAATATTGCCGACAGTTATAATTGTCTTGGTATTGTTTATTTTAATAAAAATAATTATAAACAAGCTATTAATTCATATGAAAAAGCATTAAATATTTTAAATTTAACACCGGAAAATAATCATGTAAAAATAGCTGTTTGTTTAAATAATATTGGTCTTGTTTATCGAACAGAAAAAAATTATTCTAAAGCACTTGATTATTATAGAAAAACTTTAGACATTGAAAAAAAATATTTATCCGAAGATCATTCAGATTTAGGAGAAACATATCATAATATTGGTGCACTTTATTGGTGTTGTGGTTTCTATGATAATGCTATGGAATATTATAATTTATCACTTGAAAATAAAAATCAACATCTTCCATTTAAACATCCATCTATTGCTATGACATTAGAAAATATTGGTTTAATTCATGAAAATAAAAACAATTTTCAAGAAGCATTACAATATTATGAAGAAGCTGCAATTATTTATCGACAATCTTTATCACCAATGCATTCGGATGTTCTACAAATTGAAAATAACATTTTACGTGCTTTATCTCATTTGAAATAAAGAAAAATATCTTTTGAATCACACAAGAATTGTTGTTGTCTATTCGAACGATTTTATTTTGTTCGATATCATGTATTTTGAAAAGGAGAATGTCAATGTTCTTATCTTTTCCTCTTTACATGCATCGTAGAAAAAGAAAAGGATAAATAAATTTCATTTTGCATTCAAACTTAAGCGTAAGTATCTGAGAGTCGTAAATATTGACGATGGAATAATATCTCAGAATTTCATTATTTTTAGATATGTTGTAGATAGTGATGAGTTTAAAAAAGGAAGTTTTGACTTTATGCTCTTCTAGTAATGATTATTCGAGATCAGATGACACACTATGGATCACCTTTTGAAAAGACTAAAATATTCTATTGAACGGAATGTTTTTTCATACATTTTCGCAAGGGGGAAAAAGCGGATCCTGGATCCTCGGATCCTGGTGGATCCTACTGGATCCTGTTGGATCCTGGTGGATCCTATTGGATCCTATTGGATCCTGGTGGATCCTGATGGATCCTAATGGATCCTAGTGGATCCTGACGGAACCTGATGAATTGTAGAATAAATTATTTCAAGCGTACAGAAACGAGGATGGAAAAGTTGATCTTAATGGATATGAGAATTTTTTAAGATCCAAATAAATTAAGTGAGAAAAGGGAATAGTGACTTCAGAATTTGTAACTAAGTAAAGAGAAAAAAGGNCAGGGCGGCCTACTCACAACGAGACCTGTATATGGGCAAAAGCTCACCCCGAAATATCATCATTCGATTTGTTGGTAAATACCATGCCATAGGCTGAAATTCCAGAAAGATCCCTATAACTAGGGACAGAAGACCTAAGGGGCGTTATCTTTTTTGGGTTTTTCATACCTCACTGGGCTCTACCTTATGCACAGGGCTCGAACTCAAAAGCGATTGGACAGTTGGGGACCTTTCCTCGTAAGTGGGGCCGACATTCTATCCAGCACTGCAGCTAATAATAGCTGTATGAGAAATATCCGGCTTTCAAAAAATATCTGCGAGCAGCACTCTATGCCGCAGAGTAGCTGAAAGGTAGAGCATTCTTCAGAAAAGCTATAGTTTAAAGACTGAATTATCTGATGTTTCCTCCTTGAAGATTTATTAAGAAAAAAACAGCATGATCTATTTCTTTAAATAATAATTTAGACTAAAACTGAAGATAATTCTCAATTAAAAATTTCTCCAACATTATTAACTGATATATCTCGTGCATTTGATCCCTATTACAATTATCGTCAATTACCTCCCGCATTTAATCGTTTTATACGTCAATTAATCTTACCATCATTTGTTTATACATCATTAATAAATATATGTAAACAATTACGTAAAATGCTTGAAATAAATGATAAACGTACATTAAAACAATCATTTGAATTTTTTCTTGAATATTCAACACATGAAAAACCATCATTATTTATACGTTCATTATTACTTCTATCATATTTACCATCAATGCAAGGTTGTTTATTAAGTTCAAGAAAAATTTTTGGACAAATTTTATTTACAGAACAAGTTAAATATGAAATACGTTCATTTATTGTACCACCATTATTAACATTAAAATATATATCAATTGATAATGAAACATTAAATTATAGTGAAAATTTTTTTCAACGTGCATGTGTACCATTTTCAAATTTATTCTATTCATTATGTAATAATCATGCACGTACACGTGAAAAATTATCAAATTTATTAGATGAATTTAGTGTTTTACAAGATGAAAGTGAAAAATTAGATCAATGGTTACATAAATATCTTATACAACATATAATACAAACAAATTTATCAACAACTAATGCTCAAGCATTATTATTAGTTGAAAAAACTTCATATTTTTTTCAATTTATTCTACATTGGACATTATTAATTATGGAATATTATTTATTAATGGGTTTTGATTTATCATTATATTCAAAACGTGAATTATATGATGTGTATTTTTATTTTGCTCAAATTATTTTATTTACACATATTAATGTTTATAAAACATCAAAAAATATTTTAAATACAACAGTATCATTTCTTGTTCAATTAAATCAAAAACAACAAACAAATAAAAATCAAATAAATAATCCATTTATACAGCAATTAAATAATTTAGTACAACAACATACAAATGATGATCCACTAATAGAATTAATCAATGAAAATAATTCTTCACAGAAAAAAAATAAAAGAAAAAATCCAAATGGCTTATTAGCAACAAATAATGAATATCATGAACAAGAATTATTATTAATTAATGGACATTTTTCAATGAGTACAGCTATGCATAGATGTTTAAAAGCATTAGATATTGAACGAAGATTAAAATTTAGCAGGTAAGGTTTTTTTTTAATCAATAGAAAAAATTCAGATAAAATTTTGAAATGATTTCATAATTAAATATCATTCGGAGTAGAAAAAAAAAATTTAACGAGGAAAGTTTCTCGCTGACTAAACACTTTTGAGTTGGACGATGTAAGTAAGTGCTGTGGTTCCGTTCTCAGGACCACTAAGAAAAATGATTTTCGACTTGAAACTTTCAGATCTTTTGATTTGCTTATATTCTGAAGTCAAGATATTGAACATGTCAATGTATATGGTCGATAAAAAAGATACACTTTTACAATAAGCTATTCTCACAAAAACCTTATTTCTGAGAAGAACCACGGTATTGAATTAAAAAATATTGTAAAAACGCATCATCTTTACAGTAAAGAACAAAAAGCTTAAAGTCTATTCATAATTCATTATGGTCTACAAGTTGCTTTATAGGTCTGATTCAAAAAGTGAATAATAAATTAGAAGACTTCCATCGTAAAAGTATATAAGAACAAATCGCGTTTTGACTGACGAGAGAATCCATCCGATTGAGGATCTCTATTTGTATTATTAGCCCTTCCTTCTCGAGTTATAGTCATTTTACCGAACTTTTAGCCTATGGCAGGATATCACGAAGCGAATTGCAACAAGGAGTTCCGACCTAAAATCGTCCTCAACAATAGCTTTCGTGTTATAAGCTATAAAAATAGCCCAATTTTTAGACGTATCATATGTTAACAAGAAATCATCTGTATGAGCTATTTGAAATACTTGTGGCAATATCGTGCAATAGACTGAAAGTTAAGTAAAATTACCATAACTCGAGAAGAAATACCTAATAGTACAAATCCTCTTAGGATTTTTATCTACACTATGAATTCTATCTATGAGCAAAATATGAGCTCAAATGAAAATTATCAGACTGATAGATTACTTCGTGAGATACGAATATTTTTCTATATGATCTCAGTGTTTCAATATCATCAGTGACGCATCCAACATTTTTCAGTATGCTGAATCTCGAGTTCCGAGTGTGGAACCCAGATGAAACTCATGGAGGGTGATGCTGGGTCCAAATGATGAAATTTTATCAAAAAAAATTTACACTCGGAGTTTGCGAAAAAAATTTGCATTTTCTTGATCCCCCCTCCTAGGATTTTTTGCTGTTAGTAGCATCTTAATTTTTAGAATTTCACAGGAAGCTATACCGAATTTCATCGACAAATTTCAAATTTCGTCTAAAAATATGTAATCGTTCAAGAGTTATAACTTTTTGAATTTTTGCCACATGTGGAAACAATTTTTTCGAAATTTCAAAACATCATAACTCTTGAACGGTTGCACATTTTTAGACGAAATTTAAAATCTGTCGATGAAATTCGGTATAGCTTCCTATGAAATTCTAAAATCCAAGATAATACTAACAGTAAAAAATCCTAGGAGGGGGGATCAGGAAAATGCTAATTTTTTTCGCAAACTCCGAGTGCAAATTTTTTTTGATAAAATTCCATCATTTGGACTCAACATCACCCTCTATGAGTTTCATTTGGGTCCCATGCTCAAAAGTCAAGATTCAGCATACTGAAAAATCCTGGATACGTCACTGTAATGTGTATCAGAGTTTTGTTCTCATGATGTATGAAATTATAATGAAAGTTTAATCAAAACAATCAGCAGATCACGTCTCTTCCACGACTTGGAAATTCATGCCATAGACTTATGCATATTCTTAACTAAAACTGACAAGTGAGAATTATACAAAGTACTCAATACTCATGTTCTTTTCTTTTGAACTTTCAAAGATATGAATATTTATACATTCTAACTGATTTCGTTCCTTAGTCATAAAAATATAATATGATGTTTCTTCTCTTAAAGTTTCATAGAAGTTGCGTGTTTTTTTTTTTTGTCTTAATTCGATTCTATTTTCAATTTCAGTAATGATTCAAATTATTTCCTTCGTGATGAAATTCGTTATCGTCATCGTTTTCTCCCATTTGCAAATTTATGTGCCCCACCATATATGCCTCATACAGATTTTCTTCATATACAACATTTAAGTGATAATCGTTATACAGCATCTGAATTATATCAAGATGCAATAAATAATTTTTCTCAAGCTAAAACATATTTTGAAAATTATCTTAATCGTATAACAACATCGAAACAATATCAACAACAACAAACATTAAGTCGAACATTTACAATAGGTATTACATCATTAATTGATGTTGAATCTTATATACGTATAGCTAAAACGAATGGCATTGTATTAAAATTATTGTTAAGTGGACATAAACCAGATGTAAAAATTGATTTTGATTTTAGTTTACATGCCCATTACCCTACATTAAAACTGTGATGTTTTTATTTTTTTCTCTCTTCTATAGGAGAAAAAAAATATCGAGTTTGTTTTCATCATTTTTCTTTTTTTTTTTTTTTTTTTGGCGCCCGTGTGTGTGTGTGTGTGTGTGTGTGTCTAGCTTGCATAACAACTACTAATTCTAATCCGTATAAACAAACGAAGAAAAAAAAAAACAGATTAAAAAAGAAACTTGTTTAAGATAAATCATTGAATTAATAAACAATGGTATTTTATTTATGTTCTCTTTGAGACAAATTTTTTTTCAACACGAATTATAATATCAAAAATGACAAATTCAATACCTCATGATCATCATGTTGATGCTATTGAAAGTAAAAGTGATGAACCTGAATATGATTTCAAAGAATATTATTCCAGAGAACATACATTAGCATTACGTGATATTTATATTCCGTAAGTTAAAATATTTTGAAAAAAAAATATATATTTTGTTTTTTTCTTTTATTTAATAGATATTGTACGGAACTTTTTTATCGTGAAAATCCACTTAAAATTGTTCGTTGTCAGGGTACATATATGTATGATCAATTAGGAAATAAATATTTAGATTGTATTAATAATGTTGCTCATGGTATTTATTAGTAGAAAATTGTTTTTTTTTTTTTCGATAGTTTTTTTGTTTTTGCTTTTTCAGTTGGCCATTGCCATCCATATATTGTTACACAAATTTCTAAACAAATGGCTGCATGTGCAACAAATAATCGTTATTTACATGATAATACAGTTGTTCTAGCTGAAAAACTTGCTAAAACATTACCAAAAGGTCTTGATCAAATGTTTTATACCAATTCAGGGTAGAATTTAAGAATTGTTCTTCGATTTTCTTCGAATGTACTTTATAATCTATAGATCAGAATCAAATGATTTAGCACTTCGTTTAGCAAGGCAATATACAGGAAATTATGATATTCTTGTACTTGATAAGTAGGTTAATAAGAAAAAAAGTACTTATTGATTAAAAAAAAACAAATGTTTCTTTGTCATCTAGTGCTTATCATGGTCATTTGACATCACTTTTTGACTTATCAACGTATAAGTTTAAAAAAGGACATACTGGAATGAAACCACCGGAACACGTTCATGTTGTACGTATTGATTAATAATGAAATTAGATTAGTTTTAGTTCAGTGTAAACTCTCGAGTGTATTGTCAAATTTTGTTTAAGTAATGAATTAACTGTATGAATTTTATGTATGGCGTAAAACCTATCTAAATTGATTAAGCCCCCCCCCCCCCCCCCTCAAAAACCAATCTCAGCTCAGGTACATGCTACAAAAGTGAAATTTTTAGGATTTGTTGATACTGACGTGAGGAGGCTGTGGTAAAAATTTCAGCTCGATATCCTGACGTTTGACAGAGATATGGACTAAACAAGGGTCAAAAATAGCTCATTTCATCTCCAAAAATTCTCTG